CCCAGCCAAGCCAGCCGCTGGCTGGGAAAAAAAGCCGGCAGGTTTAAACCTTTGAAATTTGGTGGTGGTGGTGGGGAAGCTGGACATGGGTGGGGAACCCGAACAGCCCTCCTGCCTCCCCTCCAAGCCAGAAGGGGGTCCCTCCGTGGGGTCCCCAGCCCCACCCGTCCCTGGCACTATGGATACCAGATTGTGGGGGGAAGCTAAACACAGTCATCTTTGCTAAAGAGTTACCTGGTGGAGGAGCCTCCATCTTTGAAGGGGGGGAGGGACCAGGAGGGAGGGAGGGAGCCTGTGGGAGGCAGGCCCTTTTAAAGGCAGCCACCTCCCCTCTGGGCCTGGGGCTCCGATCCTCAGCTTACTTGCCCGGAGGGTTTCAAGCGGGTGCTTTGACCTGCAGAATCAGCCAGACTGGCTCAGAGCTTTTTGGGATTTGTGAGCAGAACTTGGAGGGTGGCCAGGCAAGGCTGGCGAGAGGTAGGTTCCCCCCCCCCACTGACCCCTTTAACGCTCCTGGGGGGGGCAATGAAGCCAGGGGGGAGGCCTGTCTGGCCCCACCCGTCTTAAAGGCACAGGAGCCTCCCCGACCTTGTTTTTGCCCGGCACTGTCCCCCTTCTCCCAAAACAGAGAGGTTTCTTTTGAAGGTGCAGAAGAAGGCTTGCCCTTGCCCTGACCAGCTGGTTCACCTCTCCCCTCTCTTTCCCAGCCTTCCTGGAGTGGCCAGACCCCGAGCTGATGGCCCGCCATGTCGGCCACTAACAACATCGCTCAGGCCCGGAAGCTGGTGGAGCAGCTCAGGATCGAGGCCGGGATCGAGAGGATAAAGGTGAGGGAGGGGCTGAGAGATGCCCGGCAGGCCGGTGGAGGACCCCTTTGGAGAGGGTTGGAGAGGGCTTTCGGTGCCTCTGCAGGACCTCAAAATCCACCCCTTGGAAAAGCCTGTGGCGGGTTGTGGGGGGTCACCTGGAAAGGGGTGCAGAGAGGAGGGCCCGGGAAGGTGAACCGAAGGGTCCCGAGGCTTCGATTTGAGGGGGGTGGGGAAAGGTGGGCGAATGGGATGTTAAGAAAGACGCGCCAAGGATGTGTGTGACAGTGTGCCAGGGGGGGTGGGAGAGGGTGGGAGGGAAGAGGGGGGAGGTCTTCAATCCAGGCTGCCCCGAAGACGGTGGGACGGCTTTCCACCACACGGGACAGCCCCAAACTTAAAGGCGCTCGAGTCAGCCGAGGGGCACCGGAGGAGATCCGGCTCTCTGGAGACCGGGGGCAATTGGTGTTTTCCTCAGACGAGAGAGTCTAGGGGTGGTCAAGAGTTTGGGCCACTCTCTGTGCAGAACAAGCCTCTTCCCCCCCACCCCTGTCGCCAATAGCAGAGGATGTGCTTTTCCTAAGAAGGAGGAGACTGCTGCCTTGAAAGCGTCTCGGTCCGGCTCATTTTGGTCTGTAATTTGCCAAGGGTTGTGCCCCCCCTCCACCCCTCCTGGCCCCTCTGGGTTTCCAAGCCAGCTCAGTTCCCAGAACGGACCTGAGAGCCGAAATATAAACCGCAAGCCCAAAATAGCTCCTCCGCGGGCCGTTCTGATGTGGCTTCTGGGGCTCCCGTTTTTAGCTGAGGTTGCCCAGGCTTTGGAGCCAGGACACCCGGCAGGCATGGAGAAGGAACCCCCCCTAGAGGGCTCCGAGGGAGCGAAGGCGGGCCCGCCGGCATCTCCGGGAGGCTTCACGGCTCCCCCTTCCTCCCTTCTTGGGGCTCTCCTCCCTGGGGACCAGGCTGGCACTGGGCTTGGTCTTCAGGAAATGGTGGGGGGGGGGCTGCTTCTCCCGGCTGACTTCTTTCTGCTCCTTCTTGCTTCAGGTCTCGAAGGCCTCCTCGGAGCTCATGAATTACTGCGAGCAGCAGGCCAGGAACGACCCTCTGCTGGTGGGGGTCCCGGCCTCCGAGAACCCCTTCAAGGACAAAAAACCATGCACCATCCTATAGCCCGGCTCTCCGCCACCGCGACTACGTCTCTCTGTTTCTCTCTCTCTCTCTCTCTGTTGTGTCTCTCAGGTGGGGGGGCCTGGCCTGTGTCCAGTCCCCCCGTTGAGCCACGCCAACCTTAAAGCCAGGGAGACAGAGGGCTGGCGAGGAGGGCCAGGGGCCGTGGGTCTCGGCCGGACTCCGGCTTGCAACCACTCCCTCAGCCCGCTCAACGCAGGACCCATGACGCCACAGCTGGGTTGAATGGAGGCCGGAGGCAAGAGGTGGGGGGGTGTTTTATCTTGCTTACTGTCCCCATGGTAGTCCCGTAGAAGGTGACTGTGGGGTTGGAAGCAATAGCCTCCTTGGTTTTTTTTGGGGGGGGACTTCTACAGGCCCTTCCCGGAGAAGAGGAGAGGGGCGAGGGTACGGCTCCTGAGGGGGGCAGAGAGACTCAAATACCGTGTCTCCATGGGGAACGTTGCTCACGACAGACCCCCGCTCTGCCACCACTGTGCTTTTTTTCCGGCTGCTGGCCAGGGTCCCCCGGGGGGGGAGGAAACAAAAAAGCAGGAAGTTGGCTGCACAAGTCTCGAGGTGTAAAGTCAAGCCAATGAGCAGACCGGCTGGTCCTCGTGGGCAATGTGGCCGTGAGCACCCCTCTTAACAGCCCCCAAATGGCAGGCAGGGGCCTCATCCTTCCAGCCCCAGAGGTCTCGGGCCAGCGGATAGCTTGCGATCTCGCTAGGAGCCATAGCTCTCTGACATTGGTGGCCCGACGCAAGCCACGCCCTGGGATGCCCGGGCTGGGCTGGGCTGGGCACCGGATGCAGAACCTGCCCCTCTGGGCCGCAGGCGCGGCTTGCTTCTGCCAATGGTGCTCCAAAAGCCACATGCAGCAAAGTGCATTCCCTCCGCTACCCGCCTGACCACTTTGCTAGCAGGAGGCAAGTCCTCTGAGACCTCCCCATGCACACATACGTTGTATTTCTGGCAAACCTGCCAGCCCCCCGTCTCCTCACGTCCCCGAAAGAAGTCCGGGGATCCTGCAGAGAGTCTCCCGGGGCCATCCCGGTCTCCTTCCATTCCCCTCCCAGAAATGGGTGGCTGTCGCTTGTCGGCAAGGTTTTGGGGGTCTCCCTCCGCAAAGCCGCCGTTCCCCAAAAAGCAAAGGAAGGGAAGGACCCACGGGCCAGCCAAGATGTGGCCCCTCTGCTTGCTTCTGACAGCAACCCCCCACCCCTGGGGTCTCCCTCGGTCTTTGGCTTCCAGGGACCCAAGATGGCTCTCCGCTCGGTCCTGAAGTTTTTCTTCCTCCTGGAGCTGATCAACGGCCGCCTCCAGGAGAAAAGGGCCAGGGACCACCCCTATCATCGCCGCCGCCGCCACTGGCTCCGGGAATCCCCTTTCTTGGACCTGGTCAATCTGGCTCCCTTCCCCCACACACATACACACCCCACAGGGGCCAAAATCTCTGTGCCTCTCTGTTTGCCAAAACCTGTCTCATCTTTTTATGTTGTTGTTGTTTTAACAAACTCCAGTCACTGCTGGGTGTCTTGTGCTTTTTGCCTTCCTCTCCTCGTCCTCCCCTCTCTTTTTCTCTCCCTCTCACATCGACTCCTCTTCTTTGCCAAATTCTGATCCTCTTGCCAAAAGCCGGTCGAGGCTTGTAAAGACTGTATTTTAGGAAAGCAAACATTAGTGTCTGTAATGTAAAAGCTTGAACCATCATCTCTCTCTCTCTCCTTTTTAATTTCTTTCTTATTCCTTTTCTGTATTTCTCGCATTCCTTTTCTCTCTCTCTCTCTCTCTTTCTTCCAGTGTGCCATATAGACTGATTTTCTTGCACAGTGTTTAATATTTGGTGGAACCGCTGTTCAAAAATAATGATAACAATATGTGAATTCATAACATGATGAATAAAAAAAGGTCACTTTTTTTGGAGGGGGTCTGTCGTTCCTTTGACTGCCACGAGGAACCCACTGTGAAAGATTGTTTGTACTGGGCTGAGCAGCATCTGCATGCCATTCTGTTCCTCCTTGACTTCCTCAGTGGTAGATTGCGTCTGGATTTGGAGGCTTGTGACCTTTGGAGGTTCATCTTCCTCTGCTCTGCCAGTTGGTCTGAGAGAAGTCTGGAGCAAGCGCGCCAGGTGCCAGGGTGCCAGATACAGAGTGTGGGAGCAACGCCATAGGTCCCATAGGAGTGCTTTTGCACTCCTATGCGCAAGCCACTCTCTGTTTCCTGGCATGCCAAGAATCTGGGGAAAAGCTGGGACAGGAGAGTTTCCTCCACATTCCTGGCAAAATTTTTGGATCTTTTCATCCCCTCCCCATCTCGCCTATTCATGCCAGTGTCTGCTTTAATGGAAACGTTACTCGGGCAAAAGCAGCCGAGTGGGCATCTCCTTCCTGTCCAACAGCTGATTTAGCAAGAACACCTGACTTCCTCTGGGCTGCGGATTCCGATTTCACCACCAGGGGCTCCTTTTCGGGCACTGCGGGTGGGTGGTTCCTTGCCACTTTCTCCGGCTCAGGGCTCCTTCGGCACAGATCGCAGGCAACCGGGAGGCGCCCGGTTAGACGAGAAAGCCGAAAAGCACCGGCTTAAGGAGTTCCTTGCAAAACGGAAGGACAGGCCTCCGCTCCTTAAGAGGTGGGGGAAAAAAACAGACCAAGGGCTGCAGAGGGTGGCCCAAGAAAGATGGTGAGCGGCCACTCTCCCTTGCACAAAACATATGTCTTGGAGGAAAAGGCGCCAGGTTTATTCAGATAAAACAAGGGTGCACTTGGGTGCCCAGCAGGGTGGAGGGACCCCCGAGATCAACAGGGGTCAAGTTTTTATATAGTTCTTTAAAAAAAAAAAACAAAGGCATGCAGCCGTTGGTTGGTCCTTGAGAAATACATGCAGCGTTTACCATTTCTTGCATGTGCGCAAAGCAAGTTACGCAGAACGGCTTATCTCTAAGGAATGCAGAGTTCTTCATCATGGCCTCTGTGAATGCACACAATAGGGTTTTGACAGCGCCTGCACTGGTCCTCTCGGAATCTTCTAGAGCTTTTGGATAAAAGTAAGAAAGTTTAGAGTTGACCCTATCGCGCATGCTCTGCCCGCCTCAGCCTTCAGTTCCATTTTACCACCCTTGGGCTTGGAACCTCTCAATCCTAGAGCGTTTAAAATTTAGATTTCTTGACGGATTTACGGACTTTTGACTCGGCTTTCTCAATCGGATATCCCATTCTCTGTTGCCCTTGACAAACGGACTATCTGACGATTCTCCCCTTTTCGATTTGGATTGGATTTTTTGGACCGTTCTTCTCTTCCCTCCTTTTTCACTACGTGTGCTATATCGCCTATAGCTCTATGTTTCTTTATTGGACATTTCCTTCTGTCAACTCTTTATCCGTGCGTCTTAATACTTCAATTGTTCTTCTACTTTATGTCCCGATCCAGCCCCTTCAGTAGATTTTTCCGGTGGCGCTCCATGTCTCGATGACAGACAACGAGCTCGCAGACAAACTGAGCCGTCTCACAGGACAAACCCACGAGTGGGAATTGGACAAGGAAGTCTTCCGCTTGCTGTGCAGCAAACGGGGCTCCCCCATCATGGACATGTTTGCGACTCAAACCAACAAAAAAATGCATGAGGCATGCCTCTCTTGCGGGAAGAGGCATGCATTCGCTAGGGGATGCTTTCATGATCCCATGGGGACAAGATCTCCTTTACCTTTTTCCACCGATACCACTCATCTAGAGGACACTGGTCAGGGCTCGCCAACTGAGGTCCGATGCAATTTTCATTGCACTGTGGTGGCCTCATCAGCCATGGTTTTCCACCCTCCAGGCGATGGCAGTGGATGTGCTCAAACTACCAAACATCCCTCATCTTCTGACACAGGACTCAGGCCACGTCTTTCATCCAGACCTCGAGTCACTACTGTGACAAACCCAGACCTACTGGGATATGCCACACGTTAACTAAGCTGCCACCAACCATTCCCTATAAGAAGTCACACAGACCAGGGATGGATTTTTAAACAAATAAAGAACAAGGTTTATTTAAATACAACACACAGGGAAAATAAAAATAATCAGGTGAATAAGATAAAGTAACGTGGCTTATTCTCATTCATACATGCATACAGTTTGGTTCACACAGAACCCTTAACTTGAAGCACAGACCCTGAACCTATCAGTTCTGGCTGACCAACAGACACCTGAACCTATCAGGTTGGTACTCTGACACACAGTAGTACCCTGTCTGACACACAGACTCCCCCACCAGCTTGTTCTTCCCAGCTGCTGCTTCGTCACATCCCAGCGTCTTCCTTCCACCACACAGGCTTCACATTTATATACAGTACAGCCCCTCCTCCTGATGTCCCGCCTTCCACTCCCCATAGGATGGAACTTTCCCTCCAAACCCATGACAGACAGGTAACATCAGTGCTGTATGTAACACCTCCCCTCTTTATAAGTTGTTTTGTAGGGGGAAAGCTAAGGTGCTTTTTCCCAAAAAACAACCTGGATAAAACACACAACAACAGTTATACATACCATATCATACTTACTTATACTTACATTCTAAGTTAACCATAGCAATTAGGCATTTAAACATTTACCATATACATTACATCAATTTACCTTTATTCATACAAACCAAATTCAAAAAACCAGGTACATTTAACTTTTTGTCACCAACATATATACATAGTCCATGTTCCTTTCGCCGTCTTCATTCTTCAGGTCTTCTTGACAAGGCGTCAGCAACACACTTCACTGACCCTCTGACCACCTTCACTTCAAAGTCATAGTCCTGTAGGTTTAAAGCCCACCTCATAAGTTTGCTATTGTGGGTTTTCATTGTCTTTAACCATTGCAGTGGTGAATGGTCAGTGCACAGAACAAAATGTCTTCCCCAGATGTAAGGCTTGGCCTTCTGGATCGCGTAGACTATGGCCAAACACTCCTTCTCCACGGTTGCCAAATGTCTCTCACCTTTCTGAAGTT